GAAAATAAAAAGATATGGTTTCTTCTATAAAAAGAGGGCTGGCACATTCAAGAGAAGAGAGCTTTTGATCAATTGAGATTGGAGATTACTGAAGGGAGAGAGATAAACACGTTTTCATGCTTTGGAGCGTTGGAAGTGGGTGGAACTCACAAAAGCGCTGGGAACTCTGAAGATTCAACAAGCTGTCGTCAATGGAGTTGGAGGATTTTTATTTGTTTTTCATTGTTATTAATTTCAATATGCTAGGCTAGATTTTTTATGTAGTTAGGGGAAGATGAAACACAATTGAATCTTTCGTCTATGAATGAAATTGTCTCTGAATTCTTCTCTTTCTATATTTGAATGAATTTATCTGTTTTTAATACTTTCTATGAGTTTTCCCTATAGATTGATTTAGGGAAATTGTATGTTAATAGGGATTTTGGTGCATGAACCCTGATTTCATAAATTCATCATAATCCTTGTTATCTAGGGATAAACATAGGAAAATTGTGCAATCTTTGAATTCTTGATTTTAATGCATGTTTTCTTGATGAACAACCGGGGAACTAGGATTCTTTCAAGATAACATAGAATTAGGGTAACAAGGAATTGAGCCTTAATTAATTTAGAATGAATTGATTGGCATTATATTAAGAGCAGATTCTTGACTATTTAATTCATAGCATAAAGAGGCTATTGAGGAAAGTCGAAACCCTAACTACGCTCGTTCTTGATAATTAAACAACTCATCTTTTTAATTGTTTTTAATTCTGAAATTACATGTTATTGATTGTTTTAAATTTTAATTCTCTTCATCTCAATCTTTTTTGTCCAACTGAATCGCGATTAGTGAAATAGTGCTTGAAACCAATCCTCGTGGAAACGATTTCGTACTCTGGTGCACTTTATTACTTAACAACCAGTGCACTTGCCGAGTCGCAACAAGTTTTTGGCGCCGTTATCGGGGATTGGATCCTTCAATATTAGAAGAAGCTATAAGCAATCTAGATTGGACTTTTTATTTTTCTACAATTTAAATTTCCCGTATTTATATAATTTAATTTATTTTATTATTATTTTTTTATTATTATTATTATTGTTTTAATTTCATTTATTTTGTTTTTTGTTTTTTATTTTTATTATTTTTTATTATTTTTGCATTTATTTATTTAGTTTTTATTTAATTATTCTATTTTCTGGTTTATGCGAGGTATTGTTGATCCAAAATCTTGCAATTCGACCCAGAGATAGAGAAGACAGCTAGAAGGCTCAGAAACAGCTCAAAAGAGAGAAAAGAAAAAGAAGCTTTTTGCTCGACGGAACCAAAGGAGGAAACAATGGCAGAGAATGATCAACTCCTACCTATTCAGAGGACGGTGGGAGATTATATGACTTCAGCTCGAGTTCCTCAGACTTCAAGTATTGTTAGGCCAACCGTGGATGCTAACAATTTCGAGCTCAAGCCGCATTATTGGAGGTGATTCAAAAAGATCAGTTTGCTGGAGGACCACAGAAGACCCTTACATTCATCTTGAAAATGTTCTCCTTTACCATGAAGATGAATGGAGTCTCTCGTGATGCCATCTTGCTCAGGCTCTTCCCATGTTCACTTAAGGAAGATGCAAGAGGTTGGTTGCAATCATTGCCTCAAGGAAGCATCACCAACTGGGATGACTTAGCAACCAAGTTTTTAGCTCAATTTTTCTCATCTTCAAAGATGGCAAAGCTCAAGGCGGATATCACTTCTTTTGAACAAAAGGAAAGTGAATCCTTATACGAAGCATAAGAAAGGTTCAAAGGACTACTAATGAAATGTCCACAACATGGTTTTGAAGCTTGGGAGAAAAGTCGAATTTTCTTCCAAGGAATAACGCCTAACACAAGAACCTTGGTGAATGCTGCATCGGGAGGATCCTTGAAAATGAAAACTCCAGAGGAAGCATTGGAATTACTGAAATCTCTAGCTTCTCAGGAGTTTGATAATGTTCCACTACCACATAAAAAGCGGGGATCATGAAGCTTGACGGTTATCATGCATTGTTGGCAAAAAATGAGCAAATATTACAAATGAACAAGAAACAGTGTAAGAACCTGTACCGTAAATTTAGGAATTTAATTAATTAAATATGAGATTAAAGAGATAATTCCATAATTGACGTAGAATAATTATGAGAGGGATTAAATAATTATAGTAAGTGATTAATAATGTTGAAAGTTGCTTTTCTGACGAAAAGTGTGGATACCGGTTCTGCTCCACGGTATAAGTGCGTACCGATGAAGTATCTCGGAAAATTATAAAGAGTATGTATATAAACCTAGAATAATATTTAGTCTGTAATACAAAGTTTGAAGTCAAAATAATGAGAACTGGCGTCAGGACTGATAACGGCTACGTAAAAGCGCGTACCAACAAAGTGCTGCGAAAAATATTATAAAAATATAAAAAATCCTAAAAAATGGCTAGTTTCAGAATCCAAAGTGTGGGATTAAAAAGATTAACGTAGCTATTAGTACTAATGCAGTAGGATTAAACTTAACTCGCATATATATAGTGATGGGCACTAAACCCTAGAGTGATCTTCAGCCTCCTACGTGAGTTATTTCTGAAGGTTGGTCCAGCCACTTTGCCACCACCCTCTTCTCTTCTTTACGTGAGCCAAGAGACCAATTTTCTTCATGAAACCTTCACCAAAACACCATTGTTGAGGGAGAGTTGGCCTTGTGAGGGTGTTCAGTGCTTCATAGTTGAGGGTGAGCTTCTGGGTTTGTTGGAGTTGTGGCTGACTTCCTTGTTGGTGAAGAGGGAGCCATTTTCTTGGTTGTAGAAGCTCCAAGGAGTGACCTTTGAAGAGAAAAAACCATTCTTGATCACCATTTTTGTGGCTTTGTAAAGTCATATTGTTGGAGCTGCATTGTGAGCTCCAAGAGCACCATTGTTTCTGTTTCAAGCCTTGGTGGTATGTACCATCACCTTTGCCATTGATTTTCTATAGAAAGGATGAACCTTGGTGCACGTAATAAGAAAAAGATAAGAACTTGAGGATGGGTAAGGTTTAACACACCTAGAAATGCATGTTTGAGCTGCTGGAATCGTTAAAAAAGCAACCTTTGAGTGATATCTTTGTGAAAATGCAGAACTGCATTCTGTCGCGAAATATCCGGATATGATATCCGGATATGGATATCCGGATATGGGGTTGGAGATATCCGGATATGGATATCCGGATATGGATATCCGGATATGGCCCCGATGAATATTCAGATATTCTGGGAATTTCGAGACAGTCACTGTACTGTTCACACATAATGGGATTTTGGGTTTGTGGACCCATGGATGGTTAAGTTGAACCTCTGTAATAATTGAACTAAGTCAGAATCACTTAGATTAAGGGCTTGTGGCTTTGGGAGAAGCCTAATGGCATGAAACAGAAAAGAAAACGTTGTCTTTGTGTCATTAACTCTTAGATGATGAATGTTGATATGATTGCTGGTCCAAATAGATTGTAATTGTGCTGTTTGTGGACCTTGAGCTAGTGTGGACTTTGGCTTGGATTGATTGCTTAAGAGGTAAGCTTTTGTGTCCTCGGTTTTGCCATTGTTTGGTTCCACCATGCCTCATAGAGGAATGGTTTATATGCATGATGTGTTTTCATGTGATGATATTGAAATGCTTTTGAGCTGTTAAGTGCAAGTACCTTATGATATGTATGTGTTGTTCCACCTAGACCGTAAGCCTGAGTATATAGCGTCATACATGATGGTGATTCTGTGGGTGGGCTCAAGTAGCGTCTTGCACTGATTGTGGGTTGTAAACGTATGTAATTCCTGCATGTTCTCTGGCCAGTAGGATTTTGACACACATGACATGATTATATGCTGCATTGCACAGATTTTGGAACTTATACTGTTTATTGCTTTTGAAGTTATATTGCACATGTAAGTGAGCTTGGGGTGAAGAGATCCTTGAAGACCCTATGTCTTACTGAGATTTCATTTTAGAGATCTCACCCCACGTTGGGGCATATTTTCAGGTTTAGGTAACTCGGGGGTTAATACCTCGGGCGGCAGGAGACCAGAGCTGAGTTGAGATGTATGCTGTTGTGCCTATATTTCTGGATGATTATCATGCCTTGCTTTTGATATATTGATATTTGATTTGAGGCTTGTTGGCTTTGTTGCCTTATTTGGGGAGCATGGGGGTTGTCCATGACACATTGATGTTGTTTATGTTTGGCTTATTTGAGTTATATAATGAATCAGGATATGGTCCGGTCAACGTGTTGTAGTTCCGTGACTAGAAATTTATTTATATAAGAGGTATTTCAGTTAGTTGTTTAATTGCAATTTACACGCATACAATGTTTTGAAAAGGATTTAAGTAATCAACTTGGTTAATAATAATGACATCATAATTGAAAAGAAAAAGTTATTTTCCGTAAATTTATTAAGTTGCGCTTAATACGGTAACATGATAACAAACCGGGTATACACGGGGTGTTACATTTTATGGTATCACAACACTTTCTAGGGAAAAGCCTGTATGTATTGCAATAACTAGGATGTGTTGTTGTGTGTCTTGTCTTGTGTGTTTCTCGATTGGGTTTTACTATGATGATGCATGCGTCCTCATTCTTTGTGTAACTTGTGCAAAGTCATGGTACTACCTAGGAGGGACTGGGAGACGAATGAGGGTCAACCTGACCCGGTCCTGGCTGCATTGGCTGAGATGCAGGCGGCTTGATTAGCCGATCAGGAGGCCATTAGAGTGGCTAACCAGGCGATGATGGACGCCGTTAGAGAGGCGAACCGGAAAGCCACCGAGGATGTGCTGGAGGCGAACCTCCTGGCAAAACATGACCATGATGAAGGTTATGTTGGAGGAGATGAGGACTAGTCCTGTTGGTGGCCAGCATCCTCCGCCACCACCTTTACCTCCACCGCCACCGCCTCCACCCAGTCTTCAGGATGGGCATGGAGGAGGTGGGACGCATTTTCATGAGAACGACAATCAGAGTCGTATGAAGGGTGTCAGTCACCTCACTGGGATGATGCAGCCCTATTTGGAGCCCGCAGAGGATAGAGAGACTGTTGACCGTCAGCTGAATGCTTTCCGTAAGCATAAGCCACCTTCTTTTGATGGATCCTACGATCCCATCGCTGCTGCGAGATGGATTCAGACCTTGGACAAGATCTTCAGAGTTATGCAGTGCACTGACCCGCAGAAGTTAATGTTTGCGACTTACATGCTGGAGAGAGATGCTCATGAGTGGTGGATGAACATCTCTCAAGTCTACGAGATGCAGGTTCATGTCATGACATGGCCATTCTTTGTGTAGTGTTTCTTGGGGAGGTACTTCCCATATGATGCGCAGGAGAGGAAATATGGGGAGTTTGATCAATTGGTGCAAGGCTCGTTGACTGTGGACGAGTACTTGGCTCAGTTCAATGAACTGGCCAAGTTTGCATATTTTCGTATTGCTATGCCTACCTCGACCTTTTTGGCTTCTAAGTTCCGTAGGGGACTTAATGAGGAGATTGCGGATAGGATTGTTGGAGCTGCATCCAGAGATTTTGGCATATTGGTTCAACAGTGCATTGACATTAAGGACGCCTGCACTGTGAGTAAGGTCAAGAAGGCCAAGTTATCTGAGATTAAGGGAACTGGTGGTTCCACTTCATGAAAGGACATGAAGTTTGATGGAAAAGGCAAAGGGAAGCAGTTAGCTGGTAGACAGGCGCCAAGTCAGTTGAAGAGGACTTCTACTCATGGGAGTTCAGCTAGACCTCCTAATCCCAAATGTACCGGTTGTGGGAGATTCCACGTGGGGCCGTGTGCTACCGGCCAGGTCATTTGCTTTCAGTGTGGCAAGGAGAGCCACTACTCCAGAGATTGTCCATCGTCGACTATGAGAGCTGCAGAGGTTCAGGCAGTTCTGTTACAGATGATCCCTTTGGCACCTACAGCGGCACCTGTTGTGCCACCTGCCACTAGCCGTGTGTATACATTGGATCGTCAGCAGTCAGACAAAGCTCCAAACCTTGTTAGAGGTACTGTTTCCATTAGTGGATTTGCTATTGATGTATTGTTTGATTCCAGGGCTACACATTCTTTCATTGCAATCCCGATTGTTGTGGGGCTTGAGTTGCCTATTGTTGTACTTTCTCCACCATTGCGGATGACTATCGCCACCGGAGAAAAGTGTGATACCTCTACTATACATCGAGATGTCGTGTTTCAGTGGGATGGCCATAAGTTTTCGGTATATCTGATAGGATTTTCTATGGCTAATTTTGATATCATCATTGGCATGGATTGGTTGTCCAAGAATTGTGTGATGATTGATTGTTGTACAAAGCGAGTGGTGATGTCTCCGTGTGATTCCACGCCCCGTTCCTCGCCTTATATTTCAGTTCTGCAGGCTAGGAGAGCCTTGAGAGCAGGGGCATATCGTTATGTCATGTTGAGAGGTTTGGTGAGTGGAACACAGGAGGACATTACCGGCATTCCTATGGTGAGGGAATTCCTCGAGGTGTTTCCTGAGGAGATTCCCGAGTTTCCGCCACAGAGGGAGATAGAGTTCTCCATTGACTTGTTGCCTGGTGTGGGATCTATTTTATTAGCTCCATATCATATGTCTCCACCAGAGTTGGCAAAGCTGAAGAAGCATATTGAGGATTTTTCGGCGAAAGACTTCATCCGACCGAGTATGTCTCTATGGGGAGCTCCAATCATTTTTGTTAAAAAGAAAGATGGGACTATTCGATTGTGCACCGACTACAGACAGTTGAACAAGTGACAACAAAAACAAGTATCCCCTTCCTCGTATTGATGATCTGTTGGATCAACATAGGGGTGCTTGCGTGTACTCGAAGATTGATCTCCGGTCCGGATACCATCAGATTCGGGTTAAGCCGGAGGATGTCCCTAAGACCGCATTTCGTTCGAGATATGGTAACTATGAGTATTTGGTGATTCCGTTTGGACTCACCAATGCACCCGCAGTGTTCTTGGATTACTTGAACCATATTTTCCAGCCGTATTTGGATCAGTTTGTGATCGTCGTCATTGACGATATCTTGATTTACTCCAAGACGGAGGAGGAGCATGCAGAGCACTTGAGGATTGTGTTGCAAGTGTTGAAGGAGAAAAAGCTTTATGCTAAGCCTTCAACGTGTGAGTTTTGGCTCAAGTCCGTGAAATTCCTTGGGCATGTGATTTCTGCAGAAGGAGTTGCAGTGGACCTAAACAAGATTGAGGCCGTGTTAGATTGGGAGAAGCCCAAAATGGTTACAGAAGTTAGGAGCTTCTTGGGTTTGGCAGGTTACTATAGGCGGTTTATTGAGGAATTCTCCAAGATGGTGTTGCCATTGACTCGCCTTACCCGGAAGGAGACTCCGTTTGTGTGGACTCACGAGTGTGAGGAGTGCTTTCAGGAGTTGAAGGAAAGACTGACTACTGTATCTGTGTTGGTCCTTCCTGATCCTGCAGAGCAGATTGAGCTTTATTATGACGCCTCTGGAAAGAGGATAGGATGTGTGTTGATGCAGACTGGGAGAGTCATTGCATATGCTTCGAGGCAGTTGAAGCCTCATGAGGAGAACTACCCGACTCATGATTTGGAGTTGGCGGCTATTGTTTTTGCTTTCAAGATTTGGAGGCATCATCTTTATGGCATGAAGTTTGCCGTGTTCAGTGACCACAAGAGTCTGAAGTACCTGTTTAATCAAAAGGAGCTGAACATGAGACAAAGGAGATGGATGGAATTTCTGAAGGTCTACGACTTTGAGTTGAAGTACCATCCTGGCAAGGCCAATGTGGTAGCTGATGCTTTGAGTCAGAAATTCGTGAGTCTATCCAGTTTGACAACGGGTGGCTATGATGTGATTGAGGAGTTTCGGATTTGACAGTTACCTCGTTGTTTGGGGTGCACTTCTCGAAATGGAAACCGTTAGAGTTGAAAACGAGTTGATGGAAATTATTAAAGAGGCGCAAGTGCAGAGAGAGTGCCTCGATTATGTGAAGAACCAGGACAACGTGTCTTGGAATGAGGAAGGATTATTGATGTTCCATAAGAGGATTGTAATTTCTCGAGGTCCATTGACTATAGAGGTGATGACAGAGGCTCATAAGGGCCAATTCACTGTCCACCCTGGTGTTACAAAGATGTACCAGAACTTGAAGAGAAATTTTTGGTGGTCGGGCATGAAGAAAGATATAGTCGTGTACGTGTCTAAGTGTTTGATATGCTAGAAAGTAAAGATTGAACACCAGAAACCGTCTGGTAAGCTTCATCCTCTTGAGATACCACAGTGGAAATGGGAGAGTATTTCCAAGGACTTCGTGGTGGGATTGCCTAAGACTCAGGCTGGTTGTGACTCTATCTAGGTCATTATGGACAGATTGACTAAGTCTGCCCATTTTTTCTGGTAAAGGTTAGCTTCACTACTGCGCAGTTGGCCAGACTATATGTTCGCGAGATCATGAGGCTTCATGGGGTTCCCGAGAGTATCATCAGTGATAGGGACCCGAAGTTCACATCTCGGTTCTTGGAGTCGCTGTAGGGAGCTTTTGGAACTCAGTTGAGATTGAGTACAACCTATCACCCTCAAACTGAGCGGACCATCCAGACCTTGGAGGACATGTTGAGGGCTTGCACATTGCAGCAGTGCTTAGCATGGGATAAATACCTATCATTGGTTGAGTTTCCTTACAACAAAAGTTTTCATGTGAGCCTGGGCATGGCACCCTACGAGGCGTTGTATGGTAGGAGGTACCATGCCCAGGATAGGTACCTGTTGGTCTAAGGTTAGAGATAAGGAGTTATTTGGTTTGGACTTTGTCCAAGAGACCATCCAGCAGATCCAGATGATCAGAGAGAAGCTGCCACAGGCGCAGAATCGCCAGAAGAGTTATTATGATGTCAAGCATCGACCACTGGAGTTCAGTGAGGGTGAGCACGTGTTTGTGAGACTTTCACCTGTCATCGGTCTTGGTCGGGCCCTCAGAGTGAGGAAGCTTAGCCCGAGATTCATAGGGCCATACCAGATTCTTGGTAGGGTAGGGTCTGTTGCCTACCGGCTTGCCTTGCCTCCAAACATGGCCAACATCCATGGCGTGTTTCACGTGTCTCAGCTTCGGAGGTATATAGCGGACCCTTCGCACGTGGTGCAACCTGATGATGTGGAGGTTCGGGAGAACTTAAAGACTCTCGTCGGACTACTCAAGATTGTCGATCGTGACGAGTAGAAGCTTCGGAGCAAGATCATTCCTATGGTCAAAGTGCAATGGGAAGGAAGAACTCTCGAGGAGTGTACTTGGGAGAGAGAGGACGAGCTTCTCCGGCAGTACCTCGAGTTTCAGGACATATATGTTTCTAATTTTGCGGTCAAAATTCTTAAAAGGTGGAGTGAATGTAAGAACCCGCACTGTTAATTTAGGAATTTAATTAATTAAATATGAGATTAAAGAGATAATTCCATAATTGATGTAGAATAATTATGAGAGGGCTTAAATAATTATAGTAAGTGATTAATATTGTTGAAAGTCGTTTTTCTGACGAAAAGTGCGGGTACCGGTTCTGCTCCACGGTATAAGTGCGTACCGATGAAGCATCCCAGAATATTATAAAGAGTATGTATATAATCCTAAAATAATATTTAGGACTGGAATACAAAGTTTGAAGTCAAAATAATGAGAACTGGCGTCAGGACTGATATCGGCTACGTAAAAGCGAGTACCTGCAAAGTGCTGCGAAAAATATAATAAAAATATGAAAAATCCTAGAAAAATGGCTAGGTTCAGAATCCAAAGTTTGAGATTCAAAAGATTAGCGTAACTATTAGTGCTAATACAGTGTGATTAAACTTAACCTGCTTATATATAATGATGGGCACTAAACCCTAGAGTGATCTTCAGCCTCCTACGTGAGTCATTTCTGAAGGTTGGTCCAGCCACCTTGCCACCACCCTCCTCTCTTCATCTTGTGAGCCAAGAGGCCACTTTTCTTCATGAAACCTTCACCAAAACACCATTGTTGAGTGAGAATTGGCCTTGTGAGGGTGTCAGGTGCTTCATAGTTGAGGGTGAGCTTCTGAGTTTGTTGGAGTTGTGGCTGACTTCCTTGATGGTGAAGTGGGAGCCATCTTGGTTGTAGAAGCTCCAAGGAGTGACTTTTGAAGAGAAAGAACCATTCTTGATCACCGTTTTCGTGGCTTTGTAAAGTGAGATTGTTGGAGCTGCATTATGAGCTCCAAGAATATCATTGTTTCTGTTTCATGCCTTGGTGGTAAGTACCATCACCTTTCCCATTGATTTTCTACAAAAAGGATGAACCTTGATGCATGTAATAAGCAAAAGATAAGAACTTAAAGGGTGGGTAAGGTTTAACACACCTAGAAATGCATGTTTGAGCTTCTGGAATCGTTAAAAGAGCAACCTTTGAGAGATATCTTCGCAAAAATGCAGAACTGCTTCTGTCGCGAAATATTCGTATATTGATATCCGGATATGAGGTTTAAGATATCCGGATATGATATACGGATATGGATATCCGGATATGGATATCCGGAATGGCCCCGACGACTATCTGGTATTTTGGGAATTTCGAGACAGTCACTGTTCTGTTCATACAGAGTGGGATTTTGGGCTTGTGGACCCATGGTTGGTTAAGTTGAACCTGTG